TTACCATCTCATCATGAAATGTAATTAAATTGTTTCCAAGTGTCTGCTGTGCCATATAGATAAGTAACTGAAAGTGTGCACACTGCCGCAGAACCCAGGTAACTCCACCAACTCGACAGCTCAGCGACTCAACATTTTTTGTTCTTGGTTTTTCATGGCACGAATCGAAATAGTTTTTCCTTTCTGTTGCTGTCAAAGTCTGCATGTTTAAATATGTTTATTATTTTTGTTACTGTTTGCTTTTGTTGTTATTAATGCATTATTGTTATATGAACGCGCACACATACATAGTACATAAAGGGCTGCACTCATTATAGAAGCAGTTGGTTGCATTTGGCTCACTCTTTCGACCGTTGTTGACTGCTGTCCGCGTAATTTTGTTTACATTGCGCATACAAACATACATACGTACATATATGAGCCATATTTAGTAGTGTGTGTGTGTGCGTGTGCCAGTGGCTTTGCCTTTGTGGTAACATATTTAGTTTAATTGTATGCATTCCCCTACCTGTACATTAGGCTGCCTCGGGCTCTAGACAAAGAAAACCCGGTGCTTCTTCCCTAAGCAAATTGTGAAATGTGAAAAATTTCGCTTCAGTGCTCGTGCCTTTCGGTTCAATTCCAGGTAGTTCGTATGCCGAAAAAATAATTAGTAAATAGCAAACTTATCTTCCCAGAAGTCAGTAGAATGTAAATGTAAAATATATGCATTAAGTGAAGTTAGGTAGAACGATAGGCGCGCTGAATAGAGAGATTTGTCCTTGAACGGCAACAGCGATCAATAAGATTGATGGGAAAAACGCCGAATGCCCAAGAAAAAATTTCGCAGGCTACTGATGTTTACGCCAGAAAGTGTCTCAGAAGTCTTACGATCAAAGCGTAGCGTATTAAAAAGAGTGTAGCTGAAAAGAAATTGCTCACGTTATTCCAGCATCCTGTTAGAACGGATAGTTGGTGCTATGTTAGCTAGGCGAAGACCTTGCCACAAGCGCATCACCCGCTGAGCCAACTAAAAACCCATCAATTAAGAAAAAAGGCTGCAGGCTATAACAGGATATGCCAGGAGAGAAAAGCCCCGTATAGCAGTAACCTCCAATGTTGTTCTGCACTGGTACCCAAACGGGTTAACAAATGGAAGTACCTCGAAGCGACCGAGAGAGAGAGAGAGAGAGGTAAATGGTTCGCTGACCAGGGTAAATACTTACTTATCCAATCGGAATAACGCTGCTATGCAGAAAATTGACTGCCTCCATTATAGCGGCCAGCTCTGATGAAAACACACTGCAGTAATCCGAAAGCCTAAACTTGAGGTTTATGGAGAATTTCCACCCGAAAACGTCTCCTAAAATTCTGCTGTTTAAATGCTGTCTTTCCCAGAGGCTTTCTCTCATCCACTTAATCGTTGAAAGGTTGCGTGTAGAGGATCATCATACCGCCTGTAAATTACCATCTCTTCCCAGTGCCACTTTTACAACAATATAAAGCAACTGATGGCCTACCCTCACTAGGGCAGCCACCTCGTCGTTGTTGCGGGGGCTTAGCTAAATCTTGATTGGGGTAACGCGACCGATCTTCTAGTTTCGGCGCTTATCTCTTTCTAGGTTAGGGCTGAGGGCGAACAGCGACTAAGAACTGCCGCCTGTAATCCAGGTGTTATGCCCATTTGACTGTTTGTAGCCACTTTTCCACGGCACTTTTCCGACACCAGGCCGCATCGGGGAGTAACGGCGGCCTCACCGCGACACGGGACTGCTGAGCTCACCTTACCGAGCAGGCGGTCATAAGAACAATATTAAAAAAAAAAAACAATAACAACAACAATATCTTCAGAATCAGCGGCAGCGGGAACAGCAACAGCATCAGCTATAATAATATTATCAGCATCAACAAACCACACTAGCAAACTTGCGTCAGGCGTAAGGGTGGCTTCCAGGAGCACTTAGCAGCCGAGGAGGCAGAGCTGTTTATTGAGCACGCTAGATACGACGAGCAACCAGGACCCAATAAGGTGCTCAGCGACAAGACTCACGCAAACCCAGCGAAAGAGGTGCTTCTGGGAATACTACAGTTACATAAATTATAACCGTATAATCTACCGAACAAACAAAATCGGTCGGATCACCAGTGCAGCAGCTCTGTTTTCGGAAATAGATATGCAGAAACGTTAGACAGCAGTCGCCACACCGAGGGAAATCACCGCTCCAAGACTCGGCACCGCTTCACGAGTCAGAATCATGAGCAGTTAAACAGACAGCACAGGCCGCCGAGCAGCAACGACTCGGAAGTTTCAGAAGAAGCAGGGTGGCAGAAACAGAAGAGGAAGAATCGCCACAGGGCCAGACCGCTTGCATTGACACAGCGCAATAAGGGTAGCAGTCAGATTACTTCACTTGAGCGCAACCCACCAACAAGCGGCAGCAGGATCACCCACCCCTCCGATTTGATGGACCAGGTAACTGGGTAGATTCACCGGGAAAGACCAGGAACAGTACGCTGGCACTCAGCAGCCTAGTTTTCCGGAAGCCCTCAAGGGAATAACACTTTTTTGGGACGCTAAAATGACAAACAAAAAAAAACGCCAAGACTTTTAATTTTCGATCGTAGATTACGGATCTGGGAAGGGAAAGGACTATTTTTTTCACTTAAATTGCTGGTGCAATCGGCAGTTAGTGAGGCATCCTACTATGCATGTATTTGCGTTTGTATGCAATTGTGTATGTATGTGTAGGCTTACAACTCCAGCGCATTTTTAATATTCACTCTTAACTTTGTTTGCATGTGTGTCCGTTGTGTGCGCACATGATTATTATAATTTTTATTTGTCTTTGTATTGACTGGCATTAAATTTGTGTTGGTCACCGAGTGGAATATAATTTTTTGTGAAAACACAGTAAAACTTTATTTTAGATTTCATCCACAGATCCATAGAACAGTTAATGTCGAACGATGGTGAGAAACGGTTGAAAAGGCGGGAAAGAGTTGAACGAGTGAAAAAAAAAAAAATTTAAGTGAATTCAAAAATAAGAAACTAACTAAAAACTAATAATAATAATAAAAAAAAAAAAATTGTATGCAAATTTAAATAAAACGCGTTAAATAATCGTTTAACAAATAACTTTAAAAAACAAATACTTAAAAAATATACTATTTGCGAGGTATAAAAAATAATATACTAATCGTGAAATAATCGATAACTTAACGCAAGAGATAAATGATTTTAAAACTATTTATTTTCGTTAAAAGGTACAGAAAAAAAATAATGTTATAGTATAATAAAATGTCAATGCTGTGGAGCAACTTTCAAGGAGCAAAATATTTATACAATCCATTTTTTTTTTTGGCTGGTTCTCTTTCTCGAAAGTGATCGTTTTTTTTTTTGTTGAAAATGCAAAAGTTATAATGTGCTTACTGGGCGAATATGTACATGAAGTCGTTGACAATTAAAATTAATTTTAATTTTATGGTCACTTGCAGGCAGCGATCGATAAGATGACGAAATTATTGTAACAAACATTTTCTGCTAAATATTGAATAATTCGTTGGCGAACGTGTCAAAGCGACGGCAATATAGAATTGTGCAATAGTTTGACTCGGAGGTAAATACTCTGAAAGGAGAATGCAGAGCATTTTTCAGCCTTTAAATGTATTTCAGCGAGACTTAGATATCTACATATGCATATTATTGAAACTGAAAAGTGGGTTAAACTGGGTGGGGTTTTTTTTTTGAAATGGGACATATACGAAGTTATTACAAACTCGGAATCTGTGGATAAAAGTACCTAACATTTGTTTCAAACTTTTTCCTTGGAAGTGCCTTTTTCAACCTCGTCTTGGTTTTCTAAAATGAACGAAAGTGTTTTAATGGATAACGAAAAAGTATGACCTACATTACCGACTTCTGGTTTCGGCCGGAAGTGAGTTAAACTGACCGAAGTAGTTAATCATACACGGATTCATTATGGACACTTGACATTGAGATAAACTTCCAATTTTTACAGAGTTTGTATTAATGGGTGTTAATAGTATGAAGTACGAATTTCAAGGCATTGGCGAAATTTCAGTCGAGAACAATCAAAAAAAGTAGTTCGTTAATAAGCTTGTATTGATAAAAATATAAAATCCTCGCTTAAACAGGCACATACATATGTAAATTCAAAAGCAAATAATTTAAACTTTTTCCCCATTTTTTGTTTTTGAATTTATAAAAAATAACATTAAGTCATACGCCCTGGTGAGCCCGGCTTTTAGAAACTGTGTTTGTAAGTGACTTTTGATATTCATTGAAGTTTTTGTGCCCGAAGGATCAGTGCATACACATGTATGCGCATACATATATTTTCATGTGAATTTTTATATAACTAACACAAAAAAAAAAACAACCAAAACATACATTAAAGTCTATGAATAAACAGCCTTAGTTCCTTATTGACGGTGTTCTAGAAATAAAGAAATATTTGGGGTATTCACGACGGTGTCGTAAGTGTCGTATTGTTGTGTGTCGTAAAATTTAAACGTCTAAATATATATTAAGGGGATTTGCAAAGTACCATCAACGTCATATTATGCATTTGCGCAGTGTTAAAAAATAGTTGGTTGTGGTTTCAAGTTCTCTAAACATTTATTTAAGCTTTTAAAGTTTACGACATACAACAATACGACACTTACAACACCGTTATGAATCTCTCAATTGTAATAAATTTGAAAGCAGCTTTGCAGTACAAGTGATTATAAAAGCATTTGGTTTTTGAGAGTGTTTTAAACGAACAACAAAAAAATAATAGTGCATAATAAAATAAAAATTGTTTAAATTCATGTCCTTTGCCAGCTAGATTTCGTCGTTATGTGTAAATTTAAGTTTTTAACGTGGCGCATCAAAAAGTGTTTACTACATTTTATCACCATCGAACGACATATACATACATACAATATAAAGAAATAAAACCAAAATCAGTTCGACACGAAATTCACAATAAACTAAAGCGGAGTCCTGTGCTCGCGCAATGACCGGCTTTGAATTAATACTCTCCGCAGCGCTTTGCCTCTCTTGCACACCACTTAACAGTACACGCCTGCCCGCAAATCTTATACAGCTGGATGATAATGGTGAGGTAGTCACTTTACCGCCCGATTTGGTAACCAACGAACCAACGTTGGTAGATGCGCCCGTTGAAACGGTTGAAACTCTTATTGCCAAGCAAGAAAAATTGGATAATTTGAAATCGTGGCTTAAGGGTAGGAAACTTGTGATTGCCACGCTGGAAGATTATCCACTCAGCTATACGGTGATTGAGAATGATACGCGCGTGGGCAAGGGTGTGGCATTTGAGCTGATCGACTTCTTGCAGAATCAATTACAATTCACTTATGAAGTAGTCGTGCCAGAAGATAATATCATTGGCTCAAGAGAGGATTATGAGAAAAGCCTGATTAAAATGCTGAATAACTCGGTGAGTTTAAAATAAACAGTTGGTGTTATTGTAATTATTATAAGTTTTTTTTTTTAATTAAAATCAAAGTCGTTTGGTTGCAATAGTTTGATAAAGCGCGCTTTAGTGGAATTCTATAAATCGATTTTTAGTCGAATAATAGGGCCAAAAATAATCAATGCCTTTAAAGGAACTGAGTGTCTCTAAAACAATCGATTTCGTAATTTAGAAATTTTAAGTGATAAAAATGTATAGAGATTTCCTGAATACATCTGCTGGGTTCAGGTATTTTTATAGTTCACCTTGCATTTCAAGAAGTTAGGCGCCTATAAATACGTATGTAGACTCCACATCTGATTTGGATGGCACTATTCGAATAACTTGCAGAAAACAGCACTTGGAATAACAGACTTAGTCCTATGAGATGGTAAAACTCATCGAAATTATTACTATAATTACTAGGGCGCCAAAAAACAAATAAATATGCAACATAAGGCTTGGTTAGGCTAGGTGCTTCAGAAGGTGGGTCAAAAGACAAGGGGCTGACTGTGCAACATATTTAAGGCTGGAAGCGAGGTTTTTATTCTTGTCAAAAGTGGGCACAAGGACTATAAGCCCACTAGTCTAATATCGTTTCTTCAAAAGACCTCGAAAAAGTTAATAGACCTATCCTAGCAAACACAGTCTCTAACGTTAGAGAAATTTGGATTTCTACATTAGATAACTAGGGTATTTCTCTAATCGTTCTAGAGTCGATGACGAAGTTAGAGACCTACATTAGAATTGGATTCGAGAACGATTAGAGAAGCAACGCAAATTCAAATATGTGTAAATAAGCGATATTCCAAATGAATGAATCATAATTTTTTTTAAGTTCAAATAATTCATTATTATTTTATTGCAAATACATTTAATAAAAATTTTACAAACAAAGCGTTTTATTTAATAAAGCAAAATAGCAGTTTGAAATTCAAATTCGAGTCCCATTAGAGATCAACATTAGAATTCGATTCGAGAATTTATATTTTCTCGAGTCGAGAACTATGTCCCATTTTTGTTGAGATTGCTATGATTCTCGATAGTTTTTCGAGTCGATCTCAAACGTTTGAGATTGGAGAATGTGGCTAGTTCTCCAATCATTATCTAATCGATAACTAACCTCAATTTTTGCTGGGATACACCAAACGTGCATGCATGCTCTCAAAAGCAAAACATGCTAACATGAAGAGAAAGTCGGTAAATACCGCCTTACACAATGTTGTTGGACGAACAGAGGAGACTCTAGAGAGGCCTTTAACAATGTCTGAAAATAAGTCATATTAGACAGAATCACCCCGTCATTTCGAAGAGGCTAACCACTATATTCAACTGCAGAAGAGTTTCGCCGCTGCTATGGTTACTGGTGGTCAAGAGAATGCCACCGATCGAGGAAAGCGGAACATTAAGAACATTATATCCCTTGGTGAACAGTAGTTGCGTCCGCTTGCAGTTAGTAGACCAATTTGTGAGTTAATTTAAGTACCAAAGCATACGAGTATCTAGAAACTGACGATGAGTGTCACGTTGTCAGCGCGCTGGACAGAGGTACTACTACACTCCAATGCGTAATTTTCTTCACAAAGCATGCAGGAGAAAAGCCTAACTCAGTTGTTCTCGACTCCGCGATTAGTCAGAAGTTTTACTCTTGCCACGGATGGCACATTATTAAATACTTCGGTATCGAAGAAGCCACCAACTAGGATGTCTCTGTTCTCAAACGATGTGTGTATTCGATGCTGGCGTGGTTATTCGATGCCTGATCCCGAGTTCGTCTATTACCTAAAGGATTTCGATCAAAGTGAACTTTAATCTCAAAAACTTTACCCAGGGTTAGAAAACTTGCCCACACTATTAATTGAGAGCCTGTCAACATTTTTCTTACATGCCATACCTCTGATAATAATAAAGTAAAGGCGGCACTTTGTCTCTGTGCACAGACGAATCCAAACCATATGAGAAATAAATCGGTTATAGCCGGTTAAATACCGACAGAGAGCAACCAGATGTCAGTCCTGTTTCGGATAATACATTTCTTTCAAGCAAAATATAACCAAAAGAATGGCCTACCTAAGGCCCTCTTTCGCTCCCCAGTACTTTCTGCTATCAGAGTTTACCCAGTAATTCTGGCCCCATGCGGGCAGATGCAGAAACCGCCAAAAGGACATAAGCGAAATTTTTTTCGAAATTTTCTTTTCAAGGCAGAAATGTTCCTATAGAATCTAGATGCATTTTTGCACCAAAAAAAAATGTTGAAAAAAATATATATTTTTGGCCTTAAGTATCTAATGTCGATTTAAAATACATGAGTGTAAATTTTTTTAATTCTTAACAAAAATATAGTTCACACTGCAACAAAATACATAGCATTCAAAGTTTCAAACTTTGTAACAGTTAAAAAATCGTAAATTTTTCATGAAACTTTCATACCAAGGCGAATTTATACAAGGTGATGTTACTAGCTCAGCCGATTTTGTGTATGTGTTTCGCCGCACAGCTTCTGATATCAAATTGAAAAATTTCGTTTGAATTTCTACACACACTCTTACAGATTTTGACAGTTTATGCCGCCAAAGCAAAAACAAAATACATGTACATTTTTGTTTTTGTACTCCTGCTATCACCTTATATTAATTCGCCTTGTTTCATACCTTTTATTCAGAAATTTTCCAATTTTCTTGGGTTTGCAGTTTTATAGTCCATTTAGTGCCGTTTTATTGTTTTATTTAGAGTATACAGCATTTTGTATGTAATTATGGATATAATTCACTATAACTCAAAGAAAAGTCTCTTCGTCATCTTCTTTCAAAACAGCACGCCAGTCGTTTCTCTTCTGTGCCAACTGACCCCAATGGGGAATGCCAAGTGAAGCCAAGTCCTTCTCCACTTGGTCTTTCCAACGCAGAGGAGCCCTTCCTCTTCCTCTGATACCAGTATCGCGGCCCGCGTTGAATATTTTCAGAGCAGGAGCGTTTCTGTCCATCCAACTCCAAGAGCCGCCTCATAAGATGTTTTCATTGTCCATGCCTCCGCGCCATAACCCAGCAGAGGTCTGATGAGTGACTTATAGAGTGTGGTTTTCGTACGTCGAGATGATCCTCGTTTTTTTTTTTAATAGGTGGTCCCCAATAGCCCCTGCATCTTCATTAGGCTACCTCAATAAACAAGCTTTACAGAGATATTAAAATATTTTTTTCCATTATTGTCGTAGACTAAATGATAGCGAATTTGTATGCATATTTCCCTCCAACAGCGGGGGTTTAAAAAGTTAGTGACTTTCAGTTTTATGGATTTTGTTAAAGAGTGAAATATATTTTTGTTAAAAATTTATAAAACTTTAATAAACCAAAATATTTTCGTTGGCTCTCACTGTAGTTAGTAGTTTATCGAGGGCTTATATTCAATACACTTTTCACAAAAATGAGATTCTGATATAAAAATCCACCTAAGCCTTAACTATCATCGGTGATATTAATGCTGACCTTGTATAACGGTTGACAGTAGAATTTACTATTAAATTGCAAAGTCAGAATTATGCTGGTTTTCAGTAATTCAGTCTCACCTCAAGTCACTAAATTTGAGACTAGCAATTAGTAACTATTTTTGTATCTTGAGATGATTTGGGTATTCAGTAGGAGAGAGTCACTAAAAGTTCACCAAAAATGTGTGGTGGAAACAAACACCGACAGTCAACTGATAGCCTTTATGTATGCCTTATGCCTTTTGCTCGCACCGCTCTAAAAGTCGCAATGGCCGAATGGTCAAAGCATTAGACTGACGCTGGAGTGATCCGGGCGCAGAGAATTTTTTATTTAGTTTTTTTCTATTTTTGTTTTGGTTAGTTTTACTTTTTTTTTGTAATCATTTGATTTTAATGTTTCAGAAACATTTTCCAATAAAATTTAATGATATTAAAGAATTACAATATTTCTTTGCTTAATTTTTGCGTTTTGTTTTAAATAAAACGGAAAGCAATTATCTTTTCCTGCATATTTTTCTTTTTGTGATCAGCTCAGAGCCAGCTGACAAATTAGTGACTTTTGTTATGTTTGCTAGATAACACCAACAACGTGTATGCAGCTGTAATCAATAACAAATATAAATAAGAATATAGGATTCGAATTTGACTCCCTGATGAAGACGCGAGAGCGTTGAAACGCGTAGGAGGGTAAAAGGCAAATTTAATTTGTTCGCTTTTTTAACTCTATCGGCCGAAGCAGCTCAAACCCAGCAAACATAACAAATAAGAATTTGGCCCAAATAATTATAATTAGTGACTTTTGTTTGAGACTAGAGATGTGACACAGCTTACTGAATATCAAATAGTCTCAAAATCCATGTTCACCATTAAAAGTCACTACTACTCTAGTGACTAGAGACTGCTTACTGCATCCTAGGGTTAACATTAGTTATGACAGGTGAGTCCCACATGGGTTCTAATATCACAAAGTAGTTTCTGTAGAAATTCCTGTATTGAATATAAGCCCTCGAAATATTTCTTCTAAATGCAGAATAATGTTGTATAAGAAGGAAATTACTATTAATAATCATTTTGAAACAATCATATTACCGCTTGAAACTATAGTCGAACATATGTATGTAGGTACATACTTGATTTATTGCATGCCGTTTCAACCTACCATATTTTAATTTTCTTCCCAGGAAGCTGACCTAGCTGCTGCTTTTATACCCACGCTCAGCGAGCAGCATAGTTTCGTTTTCTATTCGTCAACAACTTTGGATGAAGGCGAATGGATTATGGTTATGCAGCGGCCACGTGAATCGGCTACTGGTTCAGGTCTAATGGCACCTTTCGACTTTTGGGTGTGGATTTTGATTTTCCTATCCTTGCTGGCGGTTGGTCCTATTATTTATATGCTGATAATATTACGCAATCGTTTGACTGGTGATACGGAGCAGAAACCTTATTCGTTAGGTCACTGTGCGTGGTTCGTCTATGGCGCGCTGATGAAGCAGGGCAGCACTTTGTCGCCAATCGCAGGTAAGAAGTGGATTATTATATAAATATTTATACCAGATGTATACTATATAAATACTACATACTACATACGTGACCTGCGCACTGACATTAACGAGGATAAATTACAGTCCAATTGATTAGTTAAAGTTCCAGTTGTATATGTTTTCGAATTCTTATTTAAAAAGGACCGTTTTCCGACACTCTGATATCCTTTATACACTGCTCTATCTCTTTCTCTCTCGCAGAGAACTACAATAGCAGGATACTTAGCAAAAGTGTAAGCGGCAAAATAATATTATTATTAATTTTCAGGACCGTTTTGGAAAGCGGGTCAACAAACGAAATGAAATTAATGGTAGTTATGCGAAAAAATTGAGCTTAAAAATAACAATTAAAAACATGTTTGGACAACTTCCTGAACTTTTGTTAGTCCACTCGTAATAAAGTTACTCATAAGTTCCGAAGGGCGCAATCAATATTTTCTTTCAAACCCGAAGGACTGTTTTTACAGTGGCGAGTTAACTCTCATACGGCAGTCAACTCTAGGCTGTCAGTACAAAATTTGAAAGTTATCTGCCTTTATTTTCCACTTAAATACCAAACTTTCGACAGAAGTTGTCATCTTGTAGCATAGACAGACGGTAACCCTAAACCGGATCTGATCAAAATTGTGTCCTGATAGACGGAAGTATTGCGGGACAAAAACAAAAACATTTCAAAACATAGGAAACAATCAATATATTCACAAAACTATGGGCCAAATATAGTAAAATTGCGGTTTCAGTTTTTCTCTCTGACGACATGATTTTTTTTTTAAAGGACTTTACAACTTCAAAGATATTCCTAATTCAATAAATCCTTTAAAAAATTCAGTGCAATGTAGAATATCAATATGGGTATCAAATGAGAGAAGAAATTTTGTAAATTACACGGATCGAGGACCGAACGTGAGTCTTACTGATATATAGTGCGCAGCTCAGGCGGACATGCTTTGTTTGCTTCGTTTATTTTCCATATACGACCGATCAACTGCAGTTAATTCCTGTGGTAATTCCGAATTAACGAGATGATCCGGATCAACGCTATCATCTGCCTATGCCTTTATGTATGTACATACATAGTCTGTTCCAATAGCAGTCCGGTTTACAGGATTTAGTCAGAACTTACAGGAAGTCGTTCCTATTGACATAAAACCTGTAAGTGGGAACACTTTTGAGAGAGTAATTGAGCAACTGTTCCTAGTCAGAAGATATAGTATTTAGTCCGGAGTTTTTTTTTCCTATAAGTTCATGAAAAGTGTCAAACGATCAGCTGATTCACATGTGCAAACAAAAACAGAAAGCGGTGAAAGCAAATAACCTTATATTTGTTAAAAAATGGAAGTAAACAACGAAATATTTGAATATGTATAGATTTTAATAATTATTTAGTGATGTTTCAGCCAAACCAAGTCATTGGTATGACATGTAAACAAACCGACTGACGTTTTTACAGGAAATAGTGGTTTTTGCGTTCCCGTGTACTTCTGCATCTGTTCTCCTTTTACTCTCACTTGAGAGAGTAAAATAGTAGTTTGACAGTTCCACAGGTTTTAGTCCGAAGTTCAAAGGAACAGACTAACATTGGGACCTAGAAGTTTTTTATACCAGAGCGTTCTTGTGCACATAACCGTCGTTTGTAATAGCCAAAACGAATCGATATTGATATAGTCAAATGCATAGATAAGTGCTCAGAATGTATGGAGAAGTCGATTAAGCCATGCCGACTGACAGTCCGTCTGTCCGGCCGTGTACAGATAGCCGCTTCTTCAATCCTTACCAAACTCGGTACGAGTCTTTCCAAGGGTCTTAGATTGAAAATCTTTGAAATCGGACAATAACCACGCCTACCTAACCACGCCTGACTAATGCAGCTAATTTAAAATCGATGATTGCAATAACCACTTAGCAGAAATCTCTGTAACCGATTTATCAATTTCTACCAAACTCAGTGCATTTTATGACCTTCGTGCGGAAACGTAATTCGTTGAAAACTATTTAAATCGGACTAAAATTACACCCGCTTTCTATATAACGGTAATTTTTAGAAATACGAAAAGCCCGCTAAATAGCCAGGTAAATAGTTACAACAATCTCTTAACCATAAATAAGACTACTATAGACTTTTAGGAATTGGGCGTGGCACCGGCCTCTTTATGACTACAAAGGTGTATCGCGGTAACCACTTTATCGATATTTACCAAGCTTGGTTCAATTATATCGAGCCTTAACCGCCAAAATAACGAAAGCGACATTTTTTTTTAAATTTTCTGTTTGATGCAGAAATGTTCCTAGAGCATCTAGAAGCACTTCTGCATCAAAAAGAAAATTTTGAAAAGAAATGTCGCTTACGTTATTTTGGCGGTTAGGGCTCGATATCATTAAGTCTAACTGAGCATATTGTCGAAAACGTTTGAAATCTGGAAAAACAACCCAACTTATCAAGCAAAGGTAGTTTAGAGAAAGTTGAAACGACGATATTTGATACCTGCGCCGAGTATATAAAGTTTGGTTTCGCCCGAACTTATACTTCTTTACTTGTTTTATTTTTATTTTTTCGCATGACCTTTCAGGCATTTATCACCCAAAATGCTCATATTTACTAAGGCAGACAGCCATAATAATACATATACAAATACATATATGTAACAGCAAAACACAAGAGCTAATTATTTTTATATTTGTCAAATAAAAATAAACTTACATAAATATGCCTGCATGTGTGTACTAAAGTCCATGGTTCTATATATATGTCTATTTTATACAGATTCGACACGTTTACTCTTTGCCACCTGGTGGATATTCATTACGATATTAACTTCATTCTATACAGCCAATTTAACTGCTTTTCTCACGCTATCGAGATTTACTTTGCCCTATAACACTGTTAACGACATACTTTACAAGAATAAGCACTTTGTTTCGGCACGCGGCGGTGGTGTTGAATACGCTATAAGAAATGTAAGTATGTACATATGTACATATGTATGTGTGTATTCATGTAACTACATATTCATATTTTATAATCAGGTAAATGTTAATATTTACATACTTTGCCAAGGGAATACATATATGTATGTATGGGTATCCATTTATATTTCTATTGGGATATATTGCCCATACGCCCTGGCGTAGTTATTTATTTAAAGTCCATATTTTAACTTCTTCGCTACTTTGCTTTCCGACAAATAACTTTTATTCAAATTTTTTATGTAACAAATTGTTAACCTTTTTAGACCAATGAGAGCCTCTCCATGCTGTATAATATGATACGCAATAATCATGCCGTATTTTCGCGGAGTTCGAATGATACTTTCAATTTGCAGAATTTTGTTGAAAAGGATGGCTATGTATTTGTACGCGATAGACCGGCTATTAATCATGTGCTCTATGCTGATTATCGTTATCGTAAGACCATAAGCATGAATGATGAGAAGCTGCATTGTCCCTTCGCCATGGCTAAGGAACCGTTTTTGAAGAAAAATCGTTCATTCGCCTATCCGATAGGTTCGAATTTGAGTGAACTCTTTGATCCAAAGTAAGTTTAATTAATGATTGCTTTTATTTTTTTTATGATAATCATATTTAGTTATTACAATAGACTAGCGTAAATATTATTATACTTGTGATAAATTCTTAATTTCTATCACTTTTGATCCTGTAGCATTTAAAGAAGCGTCGATTTTCCATTCACTGATATCTATTCTCAACTAAATTTTACATTACGAATGTGTTTAGATTATCGACATTATTTTAGAACTTGTACAAAGCTCATAAATACCAGTCGGGAACCATCGAATACTGGGCGTTTCCGAAGCCCTTTACCCGGTTACGGCGTGTGTTTGCCCGGACACTCTCTTACTCCACCAGTCGTGGCAAAAATAATGGATAAAAAAAAACAATTATCAAAAAAGGCAGATAGAAGCAGCAACCCTTGCTTCAACTGAAGCTATGGCATCACCGAGTGCCCTCCAGTAACAAGCTCAGTGTAAATACACCACACAAACTGTGAACATATATTATAAGCGCTTCAACTGGTTGGTCGAAGGAGCCGAGCTAAACAGATCAACTGGATATAGTGTTTCTACTACTAACGAGCTAACATATCGAGTCTTATGACAACTGGTACCGATAGCAACCCTCCCAATCTATAGACCGAAGTTTACCAAGAATGCGCAAAAATATGCAAAAAAAAATTTCTTTTAGCACTGCGCTCGAAATTTTGTTGGGACCTTGACTCAGAAGATGTCTTTCTAACTATTCCCTTCATCTCAACTTCCTGGAAAAGCCAGAACGAGGGAACACTGAAAACAGTTTTGAAATATTAGTACATCTAAAGGAAGCTCACAATATCACTTACAGACCCCTATCACATAGAGATGACGCAGTCCACCTGACACAGTAGATAAAGAAGCTTGGAATATAAATATTTGGGTCCAGGCGGAATCACACCAGCCATGCTCCAACGAACAATGGCCTCAAAGATATCTCTGGTTAATGACTACTTACAGGACCGACAGTCTCCTCCTTAGTTACATATATACTAAAGCGAAAGTTTATCGGTTGAGGATTCTTTGAAGACCTAGCCGACATAGCGTTTCTGAGTTTCGCGAAATCCCCACGATGGCTTGAGTAGGAGGGTATGTGTGCTAGGGCGGTCGCTGGTAGCCACTTCAACCCAACCTAACCTAACCTATTAAGCATCCGTCTCTATAAATTCTTACAAAGTTTAAAAGTTTATTAGTCCTCTATTTTCGTATATGTGCGCTAACGTTAATGTTGCTTTACCTTTCAGACTCCTCAACCTCGTTGAATCGGGCATCATCAAGTACCTGTCGACAAAGAATCTACCCAATGCTGAAATTTGTCCACAAAATCTCGCTGGCACCGAGCGGCAGCTACGCAACACCGATCTCATGATGACCTACCACATTATGTTTGCCGGCTTTGCCACCGCTATGGTTGTATTCTTTACCGAAATTCTTTTCCGCTACCTGAATAGCCGTCGTGAGGCAAGCAAATGGGCGCGTCACGGCATTGGACGCACAACAAATGGATTATCAGTGCATGCGCCACGTTGGTTGCGTCCAATAGAAACGGATAGTGATAAACAGCGTTTGACTGCCTCGCCCACGGAATCTAATATTACACCACCACCGCCATATCAGAGCATCTTCAGCAGCAAACGCCACCAAAATCAACAGCACAATGAAGCGACTCACCTGAGTAAGGATAATAGCTTTAATCGCTGGCGGCGTCCTGGACAATTCGGTGGTGGTGGTGGTATTGGTGGACATTTTGGTGCGCTGGCTGGTGGTGGTGGTGGTGCCGGTGTGCTGCTAGGCAATGGTCAGATGCCAGGTGGCGGTGGCACAGGTGGTGTGCGTCGCTTAATTAACGGCCGTGATTATATGGTATTTCGTAATCCGAATGGTCAAAGCCAACTGGTGCCGATGCGTGCTCCATCAGCGGCGCTCTTTCAGTACACTTACACGGAGTAGTTGCGATATTTAGTGAAGGTAGTGTATATGTAGTTATGCATAATAATTTGACTGCACATGAAGCTAAATTGGTATTAATATTTGTAGTTCAGCTGCAGACACGAAGATCCAGAGCTTTAAGGGACTAACGCTAAAATGTTCGGTATGATCAGCTGCATCGAAACCGTTGATAGACTCATAAAGTGTTTGAGTAGAAAATGCTACCTGATTAGTGCTTTAACATACAAATACTTAATTGCAATAGATGCATAGAAAATAAATATTTATATTTTCGTAGTTGTTGTTCTAAAGTGTCGCATGTTTTTCTGGTTTTCTTTCGAAAAATCTGTAAAAGCATTGAATGCACGTTGCGATATTATGGAAGTAATAAATATAAAAAGAAAA